TACCTTGAATCTGTGAGAACCAACTCATGAAATTCTCAGGGTTTTCATAGGTTTATACTGAGCAACTTAAGCTAATGTGTTCTGATAAGAGAGATACTTTTTGTTAATGTGGCTCTAGGTCAGTTTCCTTGTCCTTTATTATTTTCTGATGATAAATATCTGGCTAAACATGAAAGGAAAAGCATGTTTCTTATTTTGAATTATTTGTAAAATTATGTTTATTCACAGTGATTAGATTTGAAAGTGTAACATAAATCTCATTTGTTTAAAAAAAAAAGAAGAAGAAAGAAACAAGAAACTCACTTTGGCCACTAAATGATTTTAAACCTCAGAGGAAAAAGTTTAGACATTACCTTTTCCTGGTGTTACACCCTTCAGTTAAAGTCTGAGTGTTTTGGGTAATAGCTCCTGGAGGTAGTCAATCTAAGAGTAAATTCTGAATAAGGAGGAACCGAAACAAACAAAAATGATAAATCTTAGATGTGGTTCAATTTAATTTGTCCTGAAATTTGGGGGATCATTCTTTTAAATATTAATTTTCAGCCATGGTATTATTTGAGTGATTCAGGATCTTATATATAATATTTACCGATTTGTATGTATTTTTTATAATCTGCTTTTATATGTTGTCATGTATGAAAGAACAGTTACAAATAAGCATTCTAGAAATTCTTATTCTTTTGAGAACCCTGGAATTATGTTTTGTGTTCCAAGTTGTCCTCAAAGAAAATTGTGACTAAAATAAAGCAATCTCCAATTTAAAGTTTTGACATCTAATGATAAGAAAGTTTTAATGTTGCTGAATTAAGAAAATTATACATAGATTGACTTTATTTCTAAAAGTAGTTTGAAAATCAGCCAACAAACTAATTTTTCCTGTCAGGACTGGCAGAAAAATAATCACATGAGGTTTAACTTCAATGTCGGTTTTTTATTTGTGGCCTAAGAAAGCAGTCTCTTATACAAACATGAAAAGAAAATTAATCAACAGGGTAGAATTTTATACTGTTAAAATAAAGAGCTAGATTGTACAAATTAAAGACTGGAACTGTTTGTGATGAGATGCTAATTGTGCAGTTCAGATTAGCCAAAATCCTGGATTTAAGCAGGATTCAGTCAGGTAGAGAGGAGGGAAGAGTACAGTGCAGCTGGGGACTACACACAAAAAGGTTCGGAGGCGATGAGAGTGAGCATGGGGTGGGAGTTTAGAGGAGGCCAGACTGAAGGATTAATGTGAGTTATGGGAAGTATGGGTAGACTGAGTAGAACCAGGTTATGGTGAATCTTCAAAGCTAGAAGAGATTAAATTTACTAGGTTATGTGAAATGGTTATGGGTATTCGGTTTGAGGTTCTTTTTTATTATGCTTTCTGGGAAGATTTTAATTTATTCACCTGTTTTAAAGTTATATCACTAAAGAGAAGATAAGTGAAAACAAGTGAAAGTTTAAACCAAGATACTGGTTGTAGTAGACTTACTACAAAAATCACTACTTTTTGGGCCAGCTTTTTTAAGAGCGTTAAATAAGGTGTTACTTTTTTATTGCAGTGTTTTTCTTCTTTGATATAGCACTTCACAATGGAGAAAATAAAACCAAAGTCAGTCTAATCTCTCAAATTTAACATTTGCCTGTATGCTAGGATTTGCCAGAATCTTTAGCTTTCAACATGAAAATTAACTTTGAAATGTTAAGGTTGTATTTGGGCATGTGACTCTTAATAGTCACTTTGTTAGATGATTTTTGTACTTCTGTAAATGTTGAAGGAAATGTTAAGAGAAACTTTGCAGATTCATTTTCCTGAATATACAACAGTGTTATAACAACTGTGACCGCTTAGCATAGTCAGCTGTATGAAATAGTAAAGAGGAATAAAATAGTAAAGAGAAATAATGAAGAGCAGGTTATTTTTTATGAATGGCTGAATACATCATTGATCTGTAAAAATAACAATAATAGTTAGTATTTATTGAGTACCCATGTGGGCCAACTATTGTATCAGATACTTCATGTTTATTATTACTAATTCTCTTAACAATCCCACATGAAGGTAGTTGCGTAGGTGTGGAAACTGAGACTCATAATGATTAAGTAACTTGACAAGCATTACACAAGCAGTAAATGGTTGAGCCTGGATTGAATTCAGTTTGGCTTGTTCTTTCCTGTGCTGGTTACACAGACATTAGATTAGACAACATGTCATCAATATCTAAAATCTTAAGAATGGCAGTTAGCAGTATTTTAACTATGTTGTTCCTCCCATGTTCCTGACAACATAAATTTGCACATATCCAGAAAGTGAATTCTGCAGTTGATGCAGCCACAGGAACTCCGTATCTCTCCTTGTTACAAATGGAGATTTATCTTCACTTCCTGCTGCTAACTCTGATCCATCCTAGTGCCTTCTCTGACACCCATCCCCTGCAATTCCTACCCTTACTACCTGACTAGTTTTGCTCCTAATTTAACCTGCTTCCCACAGAAATTTTTTAATTTGGAGCCTCTTATACCCTGCCAAGATCTTCACAGGAGCCATTGTGGAAACCCTTGCTTCCCCAGACCTAGCAAGAGTTGTGGTTAAATTCTCCCTTACTTGCTACCTCCAGTCCATACAGAAAAGAACCTGGGTCTCCAATTCAAGAGATTTCCTGGGTCTCTTCCACCCATCTATCATCAGAGCACCTACTATATACCAGGCACTGGATTTAGAAGTGAAAATAAAGTCCATACTTTATAATAAAGTGAAACACAGTCCATACCGTCAAGGGCCTCACGGTCTGCAGTGGAAATAGGCATACAAATAAACAAATTGCAATACGTTATGAAAAGTGTAGCAGTATAATAGCTACCATTCATTTAACAGTTGGTCTGTGCCAAACACTGTACTAAGTGTTGTACTTCCATTATTTTTTTTTTTTTTTTTTTTTTTTTTTTTTTTTTTTGCAGCTGGCTGATATGGGTGTCCAAACCCATGACCTTGGTGTTATCACCAAAATGCTCTAACCAAGTGAGCTAACCGGCCAGCCCTTCCACTATTTCTTTTCATCTTCACAACAGTCCTATGATGTAGGTGGCATCATTATCATTCATATTTTACATGTGGTTCCAGGGGATTAAATAACTGCCCCCCAGTCATACTCTAGTCAGTAATAGAGGTAGGATTTTTTATTTCAGGCTATATGACTCCAAGCCCTACCACCCCAAGCCAAACCAACATATGTTATATAGTCTCCTTTCACATATACAGGGATAAGATGGTAACAACATCTGGGGCTGGGTTTTGTAAAATGAAATATTTATCAGGCCGATTAGACATCTGGAGCATTTAAATCAGAAACATGAAACAAAATGGAAGGTTCCGGGAAGTAATAAACCCTCTACTTTTGTTGACCACCAAAGAAAAATAATAGGGGCTGGCCCGTGGCTCACTCAGAAGAGTGTAGTGCTGATAACACCAAGGCCACGGGTTCGGATCCCATATGGGTATGGCCAGTTAGCTCACTGGGTGAGCATGGTGCTAACAACACCAAGTCAAGGGTTAAGATCCCCTTACCGGTCATCTTTAAAAAAAAAAAAAAAAAGACAATATTGTATAAATGCTAGGAAAGGAAGATAGAAGAAGGCAGAAAGGTGTTCTGGTTTATGCTGACAACACCAAGTCAAGGGTTAAGATCCCCTTACCGGTCATCTTTAAAAAAAAAAAAAAAAAGACAATATTGTATAAATGCTAGGAAAGGAAGATAGAAGAAGGCAGAAAGGTGTTCTGGTTTACAAGCTAAAGGAAAGAACTCAGGACTCATTTAAGTACTGTATAGACATCTTGGGAAGTATAGTCCTATGGTTCAACCAAATTAGCAGTTAACTGGACTTCTCTGGGTCTTTGGAGTCTTGCTACCATTTACAGTATTTTTTCATGGGAAAATGCATACAAAACAACTGATTTGAAAATATTTTTGGATTACAGGTATATTTTCATTTGTTCTTGATAGTGATGTGATGGTTGTAGTTCTGATAGATGTTCTAAGAATAGGTAAATTTATTTCAGACTAAGGATAGTTCACTTATACTAAAAATTAATTATTTCCCCATTAAA